GGGGGGGGGGGGGGGTTAGATCGTGTATTCACGCATGACAAACCAGAGGCTGAACTACAAGTGAGGTCGAACTATCATTTATGCGCCCATTTGGCCAAACGACAACCGCAGCCGCGGGTTGGCCGTATTACCGATTTTCTGCCCGACGGCAAGGTGTTTTTAATTTGCCATCGTCCACTTGGCTTCAGCTTGTGGGCTGCTATTCCAACCACGAGCTTGGGCATCATCACATCGCTCGATAGCGTTGGGCAAGGGGGAGTTAGTTCTTGAACCCTCAGCGAAAGCGCTAACGATAAATCACCAGTTCACAAATATTGTGGTCGTGGTATCTACCGTGCCGCCAGCATGCACCGCGGAGCTATGGCAGCTCAATTCAGCTAGCTAGCTCTTGCTGGGCAGGCAGCCCAAACCACAAGTCGGTAACCAGATACAGAAGTTTGCAAGGATGTAGCCCAGTACGGTAGGAGATGTGAGAAAAGTGTTTCGTCCATACTGCGAGACGTGCAATACCCAGCACAACGAACGAATGCCACGAGAACACACGGTATGGGACATCCTGCACCCGCAAAGCGTATCTAGGAATGCATTACCACTGCCTGCTACTATGTGCCCTACAAACGAGAAGGACCGCGTGGGCTCATGGATCACATGGGTTCGTAAAAACTAAAAACAAAAAGATAACACAATTTTTTTGTCGCAGGGAGTCAACACAAGAGTTGCCTCAACATAAGAACACACTTGGATTGGATTCATTACTCACAATCAAACGTTCCCGCTGCTGGACAGCATCCAGTCACTCCGGACGACGGGAGTGGAAAAGAACTCAAGGTCTACCGCACGGCATGTGTGGGGCGTTCTTATTGCCGCAAACATGACCAAACCACGGAAAAAACAGAACAGACCGCACACCAACCGGCGCAAAAGAACTACAGTACCCACGTTAACTTCAAGACCATCCAGTAAGGCGGGAACGTGGATATGGAATGTATACAGTTCCACATACACAGCAGTTCTTCCCCGCCTTTTACGAATACCAATGGTGCAAATAGCTGTCGCAAAAATCGGGGAGACTGCCCACACAAAGAAAGCAAGGCTATTTACGAAAAAATATCAGAGAGGGGGCATGCAGACCCTGACCCCAACTTTAGCCGATTCTATATTTTATCCAGCATGTTTTCTTACGTAGAAAAACATGCGTATCGTAATATGCGAAAACTATGTAACTGCTGTAGGCGACAACAGCCTCACCAGCGGCGCCAGATCTTCGTGGGGGAAAACATGCGCCCGCCGCGGCACATGTTACCGAACGCACCCTGTCCGGCACGCTGAGTTCCACCGCCCTGGACACGCGGGATACGCGACACGGCGCGACCCGTTCCCCAAGACTCGGCCGAGGTCTACCGTAACGGGCGGGCGAAGCACAGGTGCGCAAAATGGCAACAGCAGTTAGATACAAGGGGATGCTGCAAGGTTTCTTGACAAGTTGAGCGGATGGGATGCTGGAAGGTTCATCGACAAGTTGAGTGGATTCCAAGCTCGCGAATAAGGGGCAAGCTTCGCAGGTACTTGACTGTTATTGGCCATGCTCATACGAGAACGAAGCGGCTCGAATTGTTGATGTGATGTGATACTGCTTGCAGGACTTATAAAACTGACGTGCAATAGTATCGAGTGTCGAGGCCATGATTCAAGCCGGGACATGTGCACTCCCGCTCCGACACGACCTTTGCTAGAACTATTTCAGTATTTCTGCTGCGTTTCATCCTGCTGTCTGTGTACAGCGGTAAATAGCACAAGTGCATGCACCGCAGTACAGGCAACCAGTGACCGCAGTCTTGTTTGCTGCCGCGTGCTGCTGTGTAACGTATGCAGCGTCACTTTTTCCGCATTCCGCATCATCGATTTTCCTTTTCTGTCCGAGGGCAACGCACGACTTCACTGCTGTACCTCTACATGGGTGCGGCTTTCTTTCTATGCTGCTCGTGGGAAAACCAACGTGAGGCAGCAGTGTGGCGACAGAAGAGAACACCGGCAAGCGATGTCTGGGATCTACAGCAGTGGTCGTGAATGGTGCGGTTGATTGCCTTGACAAAATACAGGTACAGCATCATTGAGTCAAACGGGGCCGCAGCTAAATGATGTCTACCACTTGAATTTGTCTGCCACCTTTGTTAGTCGGCACACCCAGGATACCAGGATTGACAAAGCCGGTCAGAGACGATACGACACGTCCATGCTTTGCATATCCAACAAATATGGCAACAAAAGCAAGGATACTAAGATGGCCACGGTGATGACGCAAGGCAGAATGGCACAACCCAGTATGCTCGAATGCTGCAGCAACTGCCCACGCGTTGACCACCCCTCGACGTGTGGTTGTGTCCCCGTGCTAGTGGGGCGTTGCGCCAACGCTTGGAAAACAGCAAAGAGAAAAACACGATAAGATAGACAGCTGCATCAACACAAAGGGCAACCACGCCGAAAAAGAGCCCTCTCCCTCTCCCTGATGTCTCCTTTTGCTTCTTCAGCGCACCTGGTGACCGGCGCGCTTGGACACGGCGTAAGGCTGGCGGTGGTTCTTGGCCATGTTGGTGTGCACAAAGTTCACGACATCGGGCCGGATGGGCACCGTGAACACGGCGGGGAGCGTGGTGGACTCCTGGGCCACTCCTTCCTTGGAGAAAACGGACACTACGGGGCGGGCCGACATGGCTGAGGTTGGGGGTGGGGTCGAGAAGGATTCTACCTTCTGCTAATCCCAGACAAGATGAGCTCGAGGCGGCGCGAGAGCCATCCGAAAGCCGCGCAGGGAGGGGTTCTACAGAAGGCATTCCCGGGGGATGGGAGATGCGGGATGCGGGGGCTCCGGGACATGGGAGTTCAACAGACACAGCAGGCGGCGACGAAACGGTCTCATTTTTTTTTTCGCTCCCCCGCGAAGTCGAGGAATTTTACGAGAGACACAACAAATAATCACCACTTGCAGCAGAACGCCAAGAGAGCGGTGTCTCTCATGTTCCGAAAACGACGATGGGTGCAGAGGATATCCACCGCGTTTCGGCAGCTAACGCCCATGGGCAAGGAACACTGCCCAAAACACAGTAACACTTGCGCAGGCATCACAACTAAGAGGAGTAACGTTAGGTTACTGCTGTAGTCTACTGCTGTAGCAGGCATGGCACTGGGTCATGCAGAGGGGGAAGGGCAAGAGGAGAAGAACATCTACAGCAGCAGCAGCAGCAGCAGTGATGAGGATGGCTCTGGTTCTGATAGCTCCGATGACGATGATGACTCTTCTTCAAGCGGATCGAGCTCCTCAAGGTCTTCGTCGTCTGGTAGCGGCAGCGACGATGACGACGACAGGGAGGAGGGGTCTGAGGACGAGAACTTCGAAGTGGGCTTCTGGGATTCACTCAAGGCGGTGCTACCGTGGACAGAAGCTGGCGCGAAGGCAAGAGAGAATGGCTGTGCTGGCTTTGCCTTGGGGGTGCCTCCTGCACCCACATTTATCTATATCTGGCGTCTCAGCGAGTGTCTGCATCTTGCGACCATGTTCATCAACCAACTGGATGCTAAGCTCCTACAAGTACCTCGGGTTTTATCGACCAGGACAGGCTTGATTAATTCCAGCAGCACTTGGAGTGATTGCGTCAAGAGTAACACACCATTGATGGAAGATCCAACACACGGACACAGCGGACAGCAAAAGTCCAAATGTCTATTGAGATGTTGTGCGGTTGTTTGTTGGACGTGTGTTAAGACTATAATAATAGTCTATGACCCCTGGTGCCAGTGCCTCTTCTCCAATGTCTTTCAAACCGAGCAACGAAAATTTGCCGTAAATAGAGCAAACGGCACTGCGCTAATGTCAAATCGCCTCGTCAAGAGCGCGCGACGCTCGAGGATTCTCGTCGTGGTACGTTGGAGAAAGGGCGGTCCTAGCCGGGCCCGCACTTGTACACATTGTAGAGCGTCGTACGCATATGATAGAATTGAACGATAAACGGGTCAACTCCATACATGTCATGTCGAAGAGCAGATCATACCAATGTTTCTAAAACCACCTGTGAATAATACGGTGTAACTTGACTGTTCCCCGACTTCTTCTCTCACTTTACCTCCCGCTTGTTCTGCCTCTCCCAGCTGTGTTTTGTATCAGATCGTATGGCTTCGAACAAAATGCCCCGCGTTTGAATTTCTAGCATGATTCAAACAAATGAAAATACCCATGATACTCAAACATGGGACGTGCCACCCAACACCATTTCGTTTACACTCATTAACAACCATTGGCTCGAACGACTGTTGTCTTGTGCGCTTTGAGGGTATCCCGTTTCCGACCTCTGATGTCTACCGCGCCGAGAAAGTGTTGCACGTTTTGTGACCGCACGGAAACACAAAAGACAAAAAACACAACTTTCGCATCTCTCCGGCCAAGTCACCTTCAAGCCATGTGAAAACGGTCGCTATCCGTGCTGTTTCGTTGTCGATGTGGTGCAATCTGTCGGCGTGCCCATACGCCAGGCCGACTACGCAGAAGAGCGTCTGGATGCTCATCACGAGTTTCAGGAGGAGCTGGACGAAGCTCTCCGGATCCGGAAAATGGTCGAAACTGGCCTGCACGACATGGCCTTGGACCGGCTCATGGCGAGCACAGAGGCAAGGGCGCACTTCCGACACATTTTTTGCCAAACACGCTCCTTTGTAATGATCTTCTGCGAGGTAGCCGAAAACGCCACTATTTTCTACATGCAATGTGTGGCACATCAACCGACAAAAATACAGTACCGGCACTATCTACGCGTTGAAAAGCTCCTGCTACCCTTCGCGGTGCCTCGATACCCCCCTCTCGGGACAGGGTCAAATGTACCACCACTTCCACAAGCACCGCTACCAGCTGGAGCAGACCGGGGAGTGGACCTTCGTTCCCCCTTCGGTGAAGCGACGATGGAGACATGCCGTCAAGAAAACTGACAAGGTGGAGAAGCTGCGAGCGTACATGGCCATGCGAAGGGACAGATTTCTGCGAATAAGGTGATGTCGGAGGGAGCAAGTTCGCCTGTTTTTTGCCGTGCTTCCTGTTCCGATTCGAGGAAAAAGTGCATGCCGGAGTAACAGCTAGCCCCACGTAACCTCTGCACTGTCGAAGGGCTGCTTGAGCACCGCCACTGCTCCTACATTCTCTCTAACAAGATCCGGCTCATGCCCATCATTGTCGGGGGGTTGAAATCTATCCAATTAGTGCGCCTCGAGAATACATCTGAAAGCGGGAGCCCTCTCCTACCGAAGAAGCAAACCAGCTAACACACGCGAGATCGCCGCGAATCTTCTCGACCATGTGCACACCACACACATTTACGGAAACAGGGGTCTCTGCAGGCAGGTTAGGAACGCTCGTCTGAAGAGCAGCGATCTCTTGGTGACGGTAGAGCCGGAGAGTCTCATCGACGAAAACCTTCTCCAGGTCGCCGGCGGGGGCAAGAAAAGCAAACCTGCCAACCCTTTCGGCGGGGCCCGCCTGAAGAAGTGCCATTGGCAGAACGTCAGTGAGTGGCTCCCGCTGTCGCAACCATGCCGGTCTTGCACGCCAGAACGGTCTTGCGTGCTTGTCGGCGGATGTATTTTTGTAGTCCTTGCGCCAGACCTAACACGGACCGTATCAGGATGTTTGTTGCTAGTCCCAGCACACCATCCGTTTCATGTCTGGCCAAGGGTAGGACATGGCCAAGGGTAGGACAAGGTATGTACATATCGAGCTACCTTGCTGTAGTTACCTGTGACTGAACTCGAAGCGCTTTGGCGCCGAGAGGTCCTTTGTTTCTTGCCAACCACTACGAGAAGTCCATGACTGTGCTGTTTATCGCGTCACAAACTTGCATCCAACGTTTCCGCTTCTCTTGTTCACATGCGTCGTTTGAAGACTCGAAGGGGGAGCAGTGCTTCTGTACCAACAATCGCATGGTACACCCGCACCGGCTCTTCAAAGACGAGTTTGGCGTACTGGTGAGGGGGTTGGCAGGATAACAGCGTTCAGATGTGAGGCTAGAAAGTGCAGGCAAGACCTCCGGAAACAATGTGCACTGTTTGATCCCTGCAGCACATCACCCTTCGCGTACGGTTGTCGTTCTGCACTTGCTACGGTAGTGCTTGGAACGGTCTTCCTCAACTATAATAAGCACACAACGAAGAGCACGTCGACGCCCTCGATTGAACGTGGCGTCACGGCTGTAACGGCATGCCAGCAGCGGTGCAGCGGTGCTCGCCACGACAGGTATGTTTCAGCAGATGGCGCGCTTCCAGTGATGGAACTCCTTGCTTGCCTTGACAGATCCACGACACCCTGGCCACCTGCGGCTGGCACGCGACTCGCTGCGTGTCCAACTCACACGGAGATGATCCGGTGGTAATCTCCACCGCGAACGAGGGCGCCTTGTGCAACGAATGTTTGGTCCAGGTGAGAGGAGCAGACGCTTTAGAGGACGCCAAGTGCCTTGGCACGACAGGATGTAGAATAACACAAACACCAGTTTCGACGTAAACATGACGTTATGGTGACGGCCGTGTCCGCCAGTACCGTGTTCAGGGGGGTATTTTGCCTCGGAGTACCGTGGTAGCCTCTGCAGCACCTCAAAGAGCGACCACTCCAGCACATCAGTGACGGAAACAATACCCGCAGGGGAAAAACCTTTACCATGTGCTTGGATTGTCGAATACGGCTCTCATCGAGCTGCGAAAAATTGCACATGAAGCCACGGGGGAGAACATGGACGCTGGGAATGGTTCAGCCAAAGCTCGGGCGCGTTGTTGCATCAAGCGAGTACTACGTGGTATGACGATGTCCAGCCCCTGCCCAGGATACTTGCTTATGGTCAAGAACCCCCTTGATATGCGCTACCTGGCAAATGTTGAACAACGAAATTCGTTGTCCGTGCCTCCTGCAACCCGCTTTCCTGGTTCAGCTTACGAAAGGGCCTATCCGCAACACGACGGCTTTCGGCGCACCAGGGGTTCGCTTCAAGAACAAGCGTTTGGGGAGCGCTGACACGGACCCTGGGACGGGCGGGGAGGAGTTCTTGGTGAGAGTAATTATTGGCTCGTTAGGGTGAATAATGTCCTCTGCCGTAGCTTGCCTGTGATTTCATTGGCCAGCTCTGGCAAATTTGAGCTGGCCAATCCTATGATGTTTGTACTGGCGGGAGTAGTGGGTGGCCTTCGCGAACATCCACGTGCTCGTTCTAGCAAGAGGAATTCCTGATTTCTTTCGTCAATTCTCTCGATGATGTATCCCTAAAACTGAAAAAATACTATTACCCAAAACAAAAAAAACACACCCAACCCACCCATACCGCGACGACTTGTTCGATCACTGACCTCCTCCCACCCCCGCTTTCACACCTGCCCCGCCCAGATGAACTAGTGAAGTTTCATTCACCCTACAAACAAAACGTTCGGTCTTCGTTTTCCAATCGGCACCCCGGTACACACACCATTCCTCCCATTCATCCTTCAGGCGTGGAATAAGTGGTTCATCAAGGGTCCCGGGCGAGCCCGCAAGAGCGCGATCCGTCCTCGACACCCGCAAGCGCCGCCGGGGTTGCCGCCCGCAGGCCTGCGCCCCCCTACCGCGTTTGTGCCCCCCCCGCCACCGCCGCCAGTATTTTCGATGGCCAACTTTCGGCGTCAGCAAAAACTGGCACAGTGGAGGGTGAGGAAGGCCAGAATGGCACGCACTCTCGGATAGATTCCGCCGCATGGTAGCGACTGATGTGTGGAAGTTCGTTTGGGGCAGGGTGGGCCGGCTCTTGGTCGCATTCAGGTGCTCGTTTTTGATGCTAGAGCGAGGAAGGTTCCCATGCGACCTGTATTTTTGAATGGGCAAACACTTTGTCGGGCGATGCAGATGGGTTTTCCACGGTAGTCCCATGGAAGGCACCGCGCTTGGTTCTGGCAGTAAGCGTTTGACTCGGACCTCCCCTCCTTCTATCCCCGATCTGCGGACTCTCGCGTCTTCGCTGGTTTCGGCCAGCTGCAAAAGGAGAAAAACGGAGAGCGGGCGGCGAGAGCTGTGCAGAGAACCTATCGTGGCTACCGCGCAAGGTAAGCGAACTGCCCTTCCCCATACAAGGATTCATGTCCAGAGTTGCCGAAGAAGGGTTTGCTTCACCCGTATCACCTGTTCTTGAGGGATGTGAGTCGTGCCCCCAATTCTCGACACTGTGGAACGCCGCTGGCACCAACAGAGTCCACAGCTGGAACCCGATCTCACCAACTTTCAGAAGCTACGTACGGCTGCGACACAAACAAAGCATATAATCATGGTCGGCCGCAGGTTCCACAAAAAAAAACGTAGAATGAATGAAGGGCTGACGATACCTTTCTATCGACTACCGTTCCTGAACGCACGCCCTTGGGGAAAGTTTTGGCATGTGACATGTAGGACGGGGTGGCAGTGAGAGAACTCTCGGCGTGAAGCTGATGTCGTTTCGGGGTTCTTGGTATCAGCTGCCGGTAGTAGGGCCTTGACTGAATCCACTATAGTCTAGATGGTTTCACTGCTGTGTAGTGCACACATGTTCTTGCGGAGAACCCATGGACGCGAGAGGCCTTCTTGAAAAAATTCATCATGTGCTCCGTGCATGAACGCTTCATTTATCATTGGTGTATCCGATCGTGTTTCGCTACATGCGCAGGCACCTGAGGGCCATGGTGGCCCTGGAGCACCCCTTGAGGGCTCTGCTTCGCGTCGAGTCGGCGATCGTGATGCAGTCCCTGGTCCGCCGGTTCCTTGCGAGAACTCTCGTGCGACAGGCGAGCACGCATGAATTCATATTAAGGCGGGGTACCTGAATCACCGAGGGGGCCCCCCGGTTGTGTTTGCGGGAACGAGAGCAAATTGATCAACAGAAAATAGATGCCGCTTGTTGTACCTTCACGGAACGGAAATATCAGGAAGTTAGAGTGCCAACTTGTATTCTTTGTTGTGCAACTCTGGTGATTCTCATACACCCGCATAGCCAAAACAGCAGGCCATCAAATCATAGCCTGTCAAAGGTGCTCCCTCCTTTCTTTCCGTTTCTAACGTACAACGTGGTTCTCGGGACTAGCTTGCCCGTTGCGAAGCTCGCGCCCTCAATCAACGCGTGCTTGTCGACGGAAAACCACGATGCGGGGATCGTATCGTACCATTTTCGTGCATGATATTGAATCCCCCCCCCCTCCCCATCCTTACTCGAGGCCACGCACCCCCCCCCCCCCAACGCCGCCACCTGCGCCGTAGATCTCGGCCTTCCGTAACATGAACGCCACGGCGATCCAAAAAATGGCCCGAGGCATGCAGGCTAGAGCCCTCTTCCGGAGAAAGCGAGCACGGAAAATGGTGCAGCGGCAGATGCTCTTCCTCCTCGCCAGAGCTCACGTCGCCTCCGCCAAGGTGGCCAGGAGGATCCGCGAAGAAATGCGCAAGAAGAACGTGAGCAGCGGCTGGGGGTACATTTTGTTACAGGAGTCCGTCACTTTGCGCGAGTTGATGTTGGCGGTCGAGAATGTAGTCGTGGCAGTCGGCGGGGGGGTGGACCGAGGGCGGCAGCGGGCTTGGGGTTTTTGGCGGTCAACCAAGTCATAGTCAACGCAAGGGGAGTCCTGTTCTTCAGTTGCCAACCTATTGGCGCGCAGAAATGCAGGGTGGAGATAGAAACTTGCTGTAGTCAGTCGCTGCACGAACGACGAACCGCACTGCTGACATCGTGCCATCAGCGAGGAAAGGTAATCGACTACGTGTAGATTCCGGATTAACCTTTATCTATCTGTTTAGTCGTCTCGTGTGCTATTCAAGCCACGGGTAAGCGGTGGTGGCGCGTTCGGCCTGCCCGTGTTTTTCGGTGTTTCAGGCTGTCGCGCTCAGTTTTCAGCGAGCTTGGAGGGGGAAGAAAGGGAGGGAGAAGGCGGCGATGTTACGGGCGATAACCGTGAGAAGGCACGGAGCGGCGATCACGACTCAGAAATTGTGAGTCTTCACAACCACGACACACAAGCTCTTTGCGATCGTACGCATGCAACACCACACGCACCCTTCAGAACCGCGAATGGGGTCGTGGAATCAGGTTGCCAATAGGCGTGCGTGTGCGTGCGTGAGAGAACAAAGTTCATTGAGCAGGAAGAGGAACGAAAAGTGTGCGTGCGTAAGAGAACAAAGCCCATTGAGAAGGAACAGGAACGGAAAGTGAGCAGATGGCGGCGCCATCGAAATGTAAGAAACAACAGGACCGCCCGCGCGCGCGCGCAGTTGACACTATTCCTGCCCGAGGTTTAATCTATTTCGCCATGGTCGTACCAAGCTTCATGCTCGGCTCTGTCTACGCAAGATCTCTGCGTCGACTCTCGACATTTGAAATTCCACGTTTGAGCTTCGATCTTGGACACTGGACTCAGCTTGTGTGGCCATGCGCTGTGCATTATGTCGATGCCCGACTGCCAGGAAATGCGCGGCCATTCGTCAGAAATAGGCATGATTTTGACAGACCTAACCTGCTCACTTGTCCCTTCACACGCCCTGGTCACTTCCCAACTGGGGACCGCAACACAGTTGGCGGTGTTATGTGGCGAGGCAAGAGCTTGGGACGCGGCGAGTGGCCCACCGGCGGGAGGTTTGGGCGGCGGTCGCGATGCAGAGCACCATAAGAATGTTCGCCGATAGGTGAGTCTATCGGCGTAGAATATAGCCACAAGGGGAGAGCAGTAGCTGCCGTGAAATTGTGCCGGCGCAAGCAAAAGAAATCGCATCCAGGTTGTGACATGAAACAGAGGCGTGTTTAATGGCTTGGGTTGTCGCGAGACGGCCGGGATACTTTGTTGCCGTGGTCTGCAGACCCCACGAACACTTTGAGGCTCTGCTGGTCGTGTCCAAAGTATTTTCGCGGTCAGCGAAAATGTTGCCGTTCATGTATACTGCATAAGGTTGGTGCGACAAGCTAGTTCACCTCCGTACTTATCTCCGTTGACGAGGGTGTGGGAAGCACGAAACTCCCGTACGGAGCACCATACCAACTGCTAGCTTACGTGCTTTCGGTGACCACGATCGTCCCCGCAGACACACTTCAAAGAAGACGGACGCAGGGTTTAACTCGTTTCATTCTCAGGACCTCTCTTTTGTATGGCTTTCCTGCGACATTTTATCTACAGGCGCCGCACCCAGAAGATGCGGCGAGAATTCGATGGTGCCGTTCGAACTCTTCAGCCACTTGTCCGGGGGCTGCTGGCCAGGGTAACGGCCCGTCGGGAAAGAGCGCTGCTAGGCCAGGTGACGCGGTGTGGTTGACTGTGACCGATTCCCTTGACGATTTTCAAGGCATGCCTGATCAAGGAGGTATGGTGAAGTAGGTTGACATTAAAACAATTGACGAACGTGGCACCTAGTGATGCTAACGGCAGAAGAGATTGGTATTGGATTCCTGGTGTCGGTTTAATACGATTTCTGGAGGTACATGAGCTTTGTAAGGCCGACCGAGAAGGTCGAAAATACGCAAGACACAATTTTTCCGTACTTGCTGATGGCACACCCCCAACGACCACATACACTGGGTGTTGCGCATGCTGTTTCGGTCTCCTCCCGGAATAAACAGGGAAGGGCATCAACAACTATCAGCCTGTTGAGATGGTGAATTTTGTGGACAGGGTGAAAAGAGTACCCATTGAAAGCCCGGTTGATCCATTATGACTGTGCCGATTCGCTGCCAGCCATGCCAGAACTCCCAACAGAGAAAGCATCACTCCAACTCTGCAAACGTGTAAATGGTTCCCGATTGTCGTGCACTAGCAGCAACACGCTAAATAGCGGTTGCAACCACCAAAGATCATTTTCCCCCCTTCGCGTCCGTATTATTATTTCCTCTCTTCAACCTTCGCTTCGCGTTGTTACAGGTCTGGGGGTGGCTCGGAACGGACACCGTAACGGCCAACGGTATCTACGCCCGGTTCTTGCCCAAGAACAAGTACCTCGTTTCCAGAGAAAGCGCACCTTTACAACAGTTCTCTGCGTCCCAGTCCGCCAGCGGGAACGTCGATGCGGGGAATTATGACGAGTTACAGAAGGTGAACGCCGAGATCAGGCAAGCAGCAGCCTGGTGCAAGTGCGTGTGCTGTCTGTACTTTGTCGTTCGACCTTTGCAGGTGTGGAAAGATCGACACCAGAGGGCAGCAGTCTTGTTTGTAAATCTGTTCCTGTAGTTGCAGTCCCGATTGCCCTGGTGGACAGCGTTCGTGCGGGACCTCCGTGACTCACGCTTAGGGTATTCGCTTCCATCCCGGAAATTGACTCACATACCACGTCCCAGCCTGCTCACAACACCGCCCCGCCAAGTGTTGTGAACGTAGCTTGCAGCAAGGATGCAGAGTGTACGCGGCTGACACCATGCTCGTTGCTCGTCGCATTGTAGGGACTCGGGTCCACCTCTTCTCTGGTCCGATCGACCCTGGAAGCACTCCCCGGGGAGAGACACTTCACGGAAAAGTTTGACAGGGACAGGACAGGCACCTGCTCCAAGGTCGAGTTCAAGATCGGTCTCGAGAGGTGGGCTTCCCTTGTAGCGGCGTTTTCGCGACAACGATACCAACAATGGTAACAGCGATAGCACGGTGTGATCAATGAAAAAGTCGGTCCACACACATGCAACGAGTACTATTTTCCACATAGGCAAGCGAAACGTGCATTCAACTCCGCGTCCTCCCCCCCCATAACCTAGCAACAAAGCCTTGGTACGTATTTATTGTTCCCTTGCCTCGGATAGAAAAACGGAACGCAACGTCGGTCTAGCAACAACATCAATCTAGCCGGCATGCCGATTTTCCCGCGGTTGAGAGAGGCAAGAGTCGTTAAGGGAACACGCAAGGGGGAAACAAGTGAACAAACCGCACCCCTCCCCCCCCCTCCCACTTGTTTGCCATCGGGGTTTGGGTTTTTGTCGTATGGCAACGTTTGCCATCGGGGTTTGGGTTTTCGTCGTATGGCAAAGACGTTGTAAAACAAGCTGCTCCCCCCGGTGTTTGCCATGGGGGGTGGGTTTTCGTCACTTCGTGAGCTCGGCAACCAGGTTACCTCTTATTTTTTGCCATTAGTTGTTTTTTGGGTAACTATCATGGTGGTCGAGAAGATTACGTTGTGCGGGGTCGAGAACCCTCACTCCGCGCATAGGGGATAATCGCACCACGTGATAAATTGGTCAAGCACCCTCGAGGCAGTTACACCGTGCTCACAACTGTCTCTGGAAGTGAAAGCACCAGAACATATCTTAATTCATACGCGGCTGTCATCCGAACGCAAGGAAGTAAGCACAAGATGCCGAACACCCTTAGCAGGATGCAGCGCACCGTTTATGCGATTTGCCAAATAGCTCACGGCGCTGTATGCTTGGTGATGTGAGAGCCTGATCCCGTGAGAACCCGGCGTGCTCCGTCCCGGCTTGTTAGGGAGGCGAGGTCTAAATGGTGTAATGACTACGGCATGCACGACTATGAGTACACCCCCCCCCCTCTCCCCCTCTCCGTCCTCCCGCTGCTGCCCAGCTTCCTCCGCGAAGCGGGCTATCCGCTCCAGAAAGAAGAGGCAGCCTTGATCGTGAAGCGTTACTTCGACGGAGACGGCTTTTGCGCCTGGCACTCGTTCCTGAACTCGTACCACAACGCGGGCTCCAAGTCGAGCGCCTGCGCCCGACATGGCCGCCTCCTGTGCACGCTGTGCATCCGGTGAATAGAGGCAATGCGGGGAGTGGAAGAGGCGGGGAAAGCAGGCGGGGATTTGGGCGAGGGTAGAGGAGGATGGGAGCGAAGTCATTGGAGTACTGCATGGTACTGTGCGCTAGCAATGGGCCATCAGTGCGTTCTTCTGAAGAAGAAATGTGCATACAAAGTGATGCACATTGTTCCTCTTTTCAACTCGGCGTGAAACAGTTGTCTCGATTATGTTGTAAGTGCTCTTTGCCCTTCACGTCTTCGAGATGATGCGCCGGTGATACTGTCCACGATTCAAAGAAATGAAATGGTTTGTCCTCGCTCCCCCGATTTTCCCAAGGCACGGACGGTGCGAAAAACCTGGGTGTGCGTGCACAAAAGCCCGTGCCGGCAGGACGAAGCAACTCGGCTTTAAGATGTGCGAATGTGGGCACGTGTTCGACGCCCATGAGCTGGTGGTGGGTGGATCTGGGCCTGCAAAAGGGGAAACCGTTCGGAAGCAGGACCAGCGTGGTCGGGTGGTTCCGCAGAAGCAGGTGCGATCCTGTCCTATCTTGAGGATAAAATAAGTTTCATCTTCTAAAAAAAGTAAGTCGTGATGACCTCTATCCGGAGATAAGAGCCCAGGAAACCAGCGATGAGTTAGTGCTGTATTCGACGTGAAAAAGGTTTTTCTAATACTCGAAACCATGCAAAGACAGCTGCCCAGGGGGTAGAGGGGGAGAGCGCATGAGGACAGGGACGGGGGGCACCTTATGTGGAGCGGGTTGTTTATTTGAATATACATCGGTAACGTTGAAAACAATTGCTGGGAGCGTTTCCCTCTGACATATTGTCCCAATCTCCCGCACTACTGACAGTTTTGTTGCACCGCCCATGGGCTGCCCATGGGTGACCCATGGACATGCCCATGAGCGGCCCATGGGCGGCCCATGAAGTGCCCACCGTGGGCACTTCAACCTAGAACTTCGCCACCGGCATATCAGCCTAGAATTTAGCCACCTTCACATCAACCTATAGTAGAACTCAGCCACCAGCGCCAACCTAGCACGTATTGTGTGGGCTTGGGGATAGGGTTAACGTTAGCGTTAGGGTTATAAGCCGCTATAGTGCCCGTTCCCAAGCAGATATACTATTGTCTGGTTCGGTTGAAGGGCTCTCATTGGCCGCCCATGGGCGTCCCATGGGCTACCCATGAGCACGCTCATGATGGACTGCCCATGGGCCTAAACGTCGCGCCCATGGGCGGCCCACGGATCATCCATGGGTCACCCATGGGAGTCCCGTGGGTCGTTTGGGAAAACTGTACAAAGTGTGGGAGACCCTATGGTCCTCGTATTGTATTGTGCGCGTGCCTACCGTAGGGAAGTGGTCGATGCTCGTAGTTCGATTGCGAGCACGCCTCACATCTACTGCTCTGACTGAGGACATCACCGATTCTTGCCCGTATAACCGACGCTTTGACCGGACTTGCTTGAGCAGTTTGCCGGTCATTGTCGCTTCACGTCATCTGCCGCCGCTTCCCGTGAATCGCGATTCATGATTTTAGTATCGACGCCTCCAAAGACAAGTACTGTTCTGGCACCCGTGCTGCCGACCCCAGACATGATACGCCGACCCCGAAAATCACGCCCCTTCGATATTCCCCTACAGCTCAGTGCTTTGCTGTCGAAAGGCCTGTCCAAGACCGTCGTCGACCGGCCAATCAACGTCGAGGGCTGCTCCGCAGCGTCAAACCTCCGCCGGGCTCAATACACCAATAACTCCCCATCTCAAGCGGCCCTCATCTCCGCTCAACGTCCCAACGGCTTCCGCGTTACCGGCGCGCGCGGGGGAACCAAAACGCCTCCACATGCGACAACGTCCAGTCGCGCCCGACGGCGGTGGCGACGACAGAAGCCGGGCAGGGGATCAAGAAGCATCACCGAAGAAGCAAGTCAACCGGGTGGTATAACAGCGCTTTCTCTGGCAGAGCTTTCCCCTCCATTCTTTGGGCGTCGTACATCAGCCGATGGTGCTGATGGTTCTGGTGCTGCTGCGCTGTCACCGACTGCCACTGGGGATGTTGCGGGCTTCCCAAAGGAAAATTTGGACATGGTTCGTCCCGCAAACCAGGGTGCTACGTCTCCGAACAAGAGAAAAATCACCTACATACCATCGGTAGGTTTTGTGCTGTGAACAATATCGCGTTTATTGCTACGCTCCAATCGTCCAACAAGCTTCATATGCCAGCACGGTGATATTGTTCTAGGCCATTTTTAGTCTTGAGAAAAGGGTGGCCCCCTCTCGAAGTTACTTTATACCGCAATTATTGTTCATCACTTGGCGATCTCTGTGGACGAGAGCATGGACGTTCGCGCAGTAACGTCTGCACCATCGGAAATGATTAGAACCAAAGGGGGTGTGAGTCAGGGGCAGAAATGCGCCACATTTTAACTTTAGAAGACGCCAACGCGTTCGTTCATTCTGACCGGCGGTTTCACATTCATTTAGGCTTTTTGGCAGTACTCGAGATGAAGTAATTCTGCATTCAACCTAACATGGGATCTTACCATTGTCTTTTTGTGAAAAGTTTCAAGAGGCGAGGAGCCAAGAGAAGGAGCGTCGTGACGCCTCGTGCGCGGGGAGGCGGGGGCAAGCGGAGAGAGCCGCGCTCGCCGAGATGAACAGCGCTGTCCAGGGAAAGAACGCCGCAGATTACGCCGCCAAATGTAAGGCATTGCGGTGCAGTGCTCGTTAGGTCCTTAGAGCGCCAGCTGAACGATGTGCAAACAGTTTTCCCACCTTCGTGAAAGAGAGTACAGGGCTAGCCCACAGTGTTTGACTATTCGGCGGAAGGCAATGGACATGGAATGCTTTCATTTATCGCCCCCAAGCTTTCATACTTTCAATCCGACGGTATCACGCGCAAAGAAGCGCGTAGAGCGCAAGTGCAGACATGAGGATCCGCACAATCATTCATGATGGGGTGTGCGTAATGAACAAAAGCGTCGTTTTATGCGGTCGACCGCATAGAGAAAAAGAAAGGTCAATACCACATTCCGCTTTGCACGGTATCTCGATCGAAAGCCGGGAACGCATTGGATTAACAAACGCAGTTGTGTTGGCGCGTAGCTCACGATGAAACCACTCGAAACCACATGCTATTCACCACGTATTAATGTCGCAGAGGAAGCAGAGACCATGTGCAAGACGATCGCTGACTGACATATATGCTTACTACCAATGTTGACATTGGGGTTTTCCGCTTGTTAGTGCAAGATGACATCGCGACAAACACCTCGAGGGTGGATGGCCGGCTGTGCCTCGCTCCCGTCATGAGCAAGAAGGAGCTACGGCAAGGCTTTGCGATCTCGGCCGCCGTACCCTTCGTCAAGGCTGGCACACTAAAGGCGCGTGAACAACCGTGTCAATGACCATAAGTATCTGCAGCTGCTTTTATGGGATTGTTTCGCGTCTACATGTAGATGCCACATTTTACGCAATATTCCCATCTACCGATCCTCAGGGCGTAAGAACTCGGTTCCGTGCTTGCCCATTAGTCAGAATCAAGTACAAATTTGAGACGAGACTCAGAACAACTTCTCGCCATTCAGCACTTGAGCAAACTAGAAGTGAATATTGACGTGCGCTGTTCGTGAATGGTTTTCAGGACCGGCAACCGCGTCCTTGGTGATCGCTAAGTAGCCCATCTATCCCTCTCTCTCGTACACTACTCACCATCACCCCTCCAGCCGCAGCAACTACTTTCTTTGACCGCTGAGTCTCTAGTCAGCGTCTAGGGCTCTTGCGAGAAGATGGCAAAAAATAATGTCATTGGAAGAATTATTGAATTCGACTAGTCCCGTGTATCCTTTCCTCTCTTGTTGGTTGGTAGCAATATTACCAATCGGCGTGCGTGTATATTGGTGGGCACACGAATACGCGTTGGGTGGAATTTTTCAACACCTGCAATAAGAGACGAGCATCGTCGTTGTCTCGCAATGATTGTGGCCTTCGTTGTGCCCGATTCTTGTGGCTGACGCACCTTGGTGCGTTATCAGATGGTGCGTTAAACGAAACAGGTCGGCCATGTTAATCCTTTTCCTTGCCCCTTGTAGGAGACGGCAGATCCTCTCCAACGATACTTTGTGTGGATGGGACATAGTAATAGGTCTGGTTGTTTGGTACGACGCAGTAACCGGCCGTGCCTGTTGCTTCTTCATTTGTGCAGGTCACCACAGACCCAATCGGGCTTTACCTTTACCTCCTTAAGGCTCTGTCCGACGAGAGGCACGAGCTGCTTGAGGATGATAGACGTTTCACTGACTTCGTGGCAAGGTGACCCCAGAGAACCTTTCAACCCCTTGCGGCCGGTTTAGCAGTCTACGAATATTTTGGCGACGTACCCTCGTCAGAGAGTGCGGCTCATGAGCAAACCTGCTGTTGACGTTTGCACTATGTAGTGAAACGATTTTCATGGAGGAGGAAGGAGTTCACGTCTTGTCCTGGCGGTCCTATTGCACCCCGTCCCTGGCAACGGGGAAGCGAGAAAAAACATCTACCTACTACTGTACGTCGTGACAATTTCTCGGTTCAAAGGCGAGGGATCCTAGCCTCTTACACGAAACTCACGGCCATGAAAGACACGTGTGTACGCTGAATTCGTTGGGACTGCTCCCCGTTCTTCTAATGTGTACTGCGCCAGTTTGTTCTGGCCAAGAAGCTGTCGGTCGGCGGAGTTGGCGGTCTGTAGGTGTTGGGACCCGTCGGCCGGTTTTCCCAAACTGTGGTCTCCCTACAGACCATACGGAATTTCAGAGAGAACCTCCTTTCCGACCGACAGACGATACCTACGTAGTGCTATAACCTTTTTCGTGCTTCGTTTGAGAAGTACTTTGCGGATAACGCGAGCTGAAGCATCAAAACAAGGTTCAAATGCTGAACTATTCTCGCAGTACAGTAATGCTGGGAAACGGACTCACGCATATTCGCATGTCTCACAAGGCACAAACAGCGTGAACCTTCAACAGGTCCGGTGGCCTCAGGCGTGCGTGTCAGGAAGGCCCGCGAATGGAAATCACCTGCAGGTTTGGACGTGATTGTATTATCTTTTTTTATACCTTCCCGTACCGCGCTCGTCCGCCGTTCTCGACCGCGTTCTCGTCGACGTAACGACGACATCGTCCACGGCAGGCATGCCGTGTTTTTGGAGAGGCATTGGTGCAAGCTCATCAAGGACATCAGGAACGGGGCGACAGACCCCCACCTCCCCATCTCGGAGGCGGAAAGGATGAGAGTCGAGGTGCGAGTGGAAATCGAAAGATCTGTGTACATGTCTTCCTTGCCCACGAGATCCCAAGAGAATATCTGCTGGTAATGTGAAATGAATTAGTGCCGAACGGCAACAGCTGTTGGGCTTGTTTACTAGTACCTGAGTGCATGGTTCAATGCATCTATCTGCTCTGCAAGGTACGGGCGAGGCTTGGGAAAACATGATGCTACCGACTTGCCGAAGCTCGATCGCCTCTCTTTCTTGCCATGTTCCAACCCACCACACTCCTGCCCGTCCTGTCCTCAGCACAACCAACTGTCCAGTCTGACCCTTTCCGCGTACCCAACATATCGCACACCAAACACGTGGCAACTCCAGGGCCTAATGATTCCGAACAAGAAGCGGGCGCAACGGCTCGACGACCGCCTTCGAGCTCTAGGCTTCCATGCCCGAGCCTCCGGCATCTACAAAACAGCCGCGTCTGCTTCTGCCACTGGTACTACTGCTTCTGGTTCTGCAACTGCAAAACGACGCGCGCCGGGACAATCGTCAAGGAACGGTGGAGGAGGAGGAGGAGAAAGGAAAGATACTAGTAGCTCCGCGGGGAGCAGGCCACATACTCAGGAGGAGAAGCAGGAGTCCATGGCGAAGATGGTGGAAGCCTGCAGGAAGCGGAGGCCCGGGACCGCGGAGAGTGAAGCTGGCGGCACCCCCGAACAAAGGTGGATGAGCGCTTTGAAGCTGCTGCGCTATTTTTTCTTCGTCTCACCTCGCTTCTGACAAGCCAAAAGATGACTTGACGTTTCAAGAGCAAGAGAATCGCGTGCCTGTGTACAGTTTTTTGTTTGACACGTGCGGAGGGTTCAACAACCACTCACAAAGGTGCGTCGTGTTTATTCAAAATTCAGCCGTGTGTGAAGTAGCAGCCAGCGGACGTAGATGTCGTTTCGTGTACTGCTTGGACAGAATCCGACGTCCCACCAATCGAACTCGTCTTTCGCCCTGAACGTCACGGGCTCTCCGCGTCCTAGCGCCCGTCCGCTCTCGGAGCATTCCATTCGAGAAATACTTGTCGGCGTAACGCATTAGTGTCACCTTTTCCCCCACCACCTTCTCCAGTGTTCGGAGAAAGCGACGGACAGTGACAGGTGGAGAGATGGAGTCTGCAGTTCGTCTTTTGAAGTCTAGGGGGGAGTCTAGAGCGAGGAGTCCAAGCACCGGGGCTTGGCAGGCGGTAAGCGAACCTTACTTCGGAAGCCAGACCACCAAGATGGCTTTGCAATTGCCGCTGCCCTCGAATCATTTGTCCACAAGAACGAGTGTTTGTGTTGCCACCACTCGATCTTGCCGGTCATAGATGTGTGTCAGCGTAGGAAGGGAAAGCAGAGCTGGACCGTGTACCTCGGCACGGGCCTTACCCGATGACGAAGTGCTGCCGCATCCTCTACCACCGTGGGTTGTCAATAGGGCTGGGTATTCTGGACGGGTAGCCGGTATTGAGCGAGTGACGGTTATTGGCGCAGGTAGAACAAGCACCTTGTCGTTTGTTTTGAAGACAGTGGGTGACTCCTACGGGGCAGGTGAACCAGCGTAGCACATGCTTGCCCGAAGAGAGGGACCACCACTGTATCTCGATCCATCACCCCCCGGTCTTCCTCCTGCCTCCATCACAGTGAGAACAGCCCCTCTCTCAACGCGCCACTAGGCCTAAGGAGGCGGGCCGATTCCAGCCCAGGCCACAACTCGAAGACCTCGAACTATGCCAAACCGGTCCCAAACGATGATAACTCGATCAGGTTCCTACGGTAGAGCAAGCCTCAAAAACGGCCTACGGGCTCCTCACGGCCGCCTCGGCCAACGCCGCCGGAGTCGTCCAAGCGCCTTCGGGCCGCGGGTTCCGCAAGCACGTGTGCCTGCATCCCGGCTGCGGGAAGGTTTTCCATCTGAAGGCATCGGCGGACAGACACCAGGAGAAGGAGCACCGCTTCCGAATGAGACTCGGTGAGAAAAGGCGTGCGATCGCAAGAACCGCGGAGTGCCGTTGTTTTGGTCGAAAGGTCAAGGGAACTTTGTTGCCCAGAGAGTGCCGAAAATGTTGATGAGATGCCGACCGCGCTTGTCGTTCTCGTTGTCGTCTTTCTCTCTCTCTCTCTCTCTCTCGCTCTCGCTCTCCCTCTCTTCCCCTTCTGGCCACATGGCTTGTTCTATCCGCCCGTCAACCCTCCCCGCCCATCTCCTACCCCTTTCTGCACGCCCTCGCCGCAGCGGCACCAACGCCTCTCACCGACCAGTTCATGCTCCCATCATGGCCTTCGGATGGCGTACCGTGGTCGTCAGGCCTGCCGGCGCCAGGCAGAGGAAAAAAACACACCTCCGTGAGCAAAGGGACGGTTACAGCTTGCAGGGGCCCAGCCGGAAGAACGCCAACCAAGACCGCCAAAACCGTCGGCGCCGGCGGGAGCGCCGGCGACACCGTCCTCGATCGCGGCGATGCTAGCCTTCACGCCCGGTTCGCGTGCGGGGTCCCCGGGTGCAGCCACCGGTTCCCGGAGGCTCGCCTACTAGGGCTCCACCTCCGCATGGGTCACAACGAGTTCGATTTGGAGAAGATGAAAGCGAGGAGGGATGGGACGGTGCCTACCCAGACCCTCGACGGCGTTACCGTCACGGCTGCGATCGACGTCGGCGGCCATGTCAGGTTAGTCGGGGGTACGCAGGAACCATGGCAGAAACCTGTTTTGGTTTTGAAGCAAAGTCGTGGGGGGGCTGTAGGTAGCGGCCTGGACGAGGCACAAGGCTTTGTTGTATCTTTGACACAGGTCTCGTGGCCGCAAGTTTACAATATTTGCCGATAGTGAAGACGAACACGCAGCGAAATAGGCCAATTGAAACTCACGCCACTAATCACTTTTTCGTGCACGTCACCGTCCACCCGCCCAACAGGGCCAGCTTCCTCGGCGCCTACCGCCTGGTTCCGCCATTCCAGTCTCCCACCGGGTGCCCGGACATCCCAGCGTGCGGTTTGCACGGCAGGCCCAAGCACGGGTGCCAGCGTTGTGCCGATATTGCGAGACAGTCGGCCGCGGTGGGGGCTGATGACGGAGGCGAGCCGGAAGACGGCAGGCCGCCGATGGGGTGGCCGCTTCCCCCGGCGAAGTTTTACACGCGAGCGATGGTGAGCTGGTCGGCCTCCCCCGCGGGTAGAGGGAGCAGGCAGCGTGATAAATGTGTCGCTATCACGAACAAAAGCCCCGAAATCACGCGCACGCTGGTTCAGTAGTCACATCTTATGGCCACCTTCAACATCGTTTGGGATTTGTCCTGATTTCAGACGTAGTTGAGAGATGGAACTGGCAGGAAGTCGGGTACAGGCGACCTCAGAAGAAGAAATCCGTGAGGATTTGATAAGGGTTTGTGGGTAGACCTGAGAACATGCTAGGATGCGTGGATTCCCCGAACACGCCAAGAATTAGGCGTTCGCCGAACGACATGCATTACCGAAGGCGTTAGCGCCGGGATGATACATTCCCATTGGGCTCGAGGATGCATTGTACAACAAACGTATCACCGGTTGAGGCCAGAGACATCGTTTGTTTTCGTCCATTCGGCATGTCCTTCAGTCAAAGCTTCTTCTTCTCTTCCCTAGGCCGTATCCTTGCGCAATCTCCCATAGGTTCTCCGCCCGGCACCCTAGACCACCTCACCCCTACCATCACGCTTCGCCAAACATGTGCTCTCGAATCTGCTTCTCGATACCCCGTACCCTCCGACCATCGCCCGGGCTCGCTTGTGCTCCTCTCAGGTTGTGGTGAATCACCACGGAAGGCCAATAAACCTCGATCTCGATTGTGCAGAGGAACTGCGGTGCCCCCTCCTCCGCTTTCCTCTCCGCTCTTGCAACCCTTCAACTGGTCCATCTGTTGAGCACCGTCGGGCCGACAATGCCACCGACGATAAAGCGGGTGGGGATGCGTTGCCCGATGTGGACTCCGTGCTGCCTGGCTTTGGTGATGGGCTGCAAGGGGGTCAAGAAGCGTCGAGAAACTTGACGGCGTCTTCAGGGGGAAGCAGGAAGGATCTGACCGATGATGGACAAGGCGCCAGCGCTCCGAAAAACGACACCGATGGTGGAAGCGGCAGCTTTCCTGCGAGGAGCGGACCTAGTATTGATGCCTGCATCGACGACAACGGCAACGACGATGTTCTCCCTCAACATTTCCTGACAGGCGGCGGAATCGATCCCGCGGGTTTGGGCGAGAACAATTCCCACCACCAACACGAACCACAACACCATCAAAACACTCACCATCAGCGTCACCACCAGCACCAGCACCAGCATCATGGGGCGCTGGTTCCAGCGCGGCTGGTTGCGGTGCTCGTGGATGGCTCAGGAAAGGGGTGGATGGCGGCGCGACGCCTGTGGTCCGTGCCCGACGTGGGACACCACGCTCTGGCTGAGGCCGGGTTGACGGCCGGGGATGTCGACCGGGAGCAAGAGGTGAGCTATTCCTCGTGTAGCTCTCACGAACAACCCCATCGCATGTCGAGATATGAAGGTAGCAAGAGGTCACCACTCACCATGTACGTGTAGCAAACCATTCGGATAGCGCCGCAGGAAAAGGGAGCCCGTGAAAGACTGGCAAAAACAATCTGCGTTTGTTGGCTGGCATATGTTCTGCGTTTGAGAGGCACATACCTTTGCCGTCGGGGGTAGACGGGGTTCCGCTACAAAATGCAAGGAATCCTCGTATACCCCAGTGTGTGTCTTTTCATGGCTGTGTTCACGTTGGGCCTTGTGCCTACTGTAGCTCAGGAACCACTCAGTTTTCCTTGCAAGTTTCCGTACCTCGCGTACGCACGTTGTATCTAACATCATAAGCTGCCGCGCCCATTGCGTAACATGGCGTCACTCCATCGTCAGTTCTTTGTCGCGACAGAGGTGGAATATCTCCCGCTGTCCCTCGTGCGCGACACTTGCACCGTCACGGTTGACCGGAAAAAGGATGTACATTCCAAGCAGCGCTCAGGAGTCCTACCCAAGTCAATGAGGTGAAGAACAGTAAACTAATCTGTACTCTACTGCTGCTTTTTTACAACGTCAGTTTCTCTACATACTCGGTGGGGTTGTGTGCTGTGGGTGAGATATCACATGTCAGGTGGAACACCTTACCGGCAGGAGTGGGCGTATATGGTAGCATCTACACCCCCGTATCACAACTGCCCGTGAAGGCGTTTTGCTCGATAGCATCCTTCGCTGCGCCTTGCCTGGGGGCACACCGGAGTTGGCGGTAAGTATTATTGGACGGGGCAATGAAAAACTGTCAATGTTGACTTAACAGCGCCATGGATAGCCGTTGAGAACATGTCGTTCCATTGCGCATCGGCTGAAGAAGAGTCAATGGCACAGTACCCAGTCGAACTCAGAGCTGGCTTCATCAAAAATAATAGTCATTGTTTGTGCGCCAATCCCCGATCTCTTCCGCAATGTCATTTTCCGGGTGGAGGTCACAGCGAGTAGCAGCAGCCGACCCACTGTGTGGAGGCTAAATAGACATTTTTTTAGGAAACTTTACGTTGCTTTTGTTTGGCCATCGGGGGACGGCATTTTGCGTATCTACATGGTTCATCCATTCCTTGACACTTTTAGTCTATTTTACTCATGAAACTGTTATGTACGCCCTCAACGGCTGTAATGGCAATGGGAGATATGTCAACCTGCGCTGATACCAGGGTCACTCCCTATGTTGATGGGGTACACGTGAGACCCCCTGTTTATGCCTAACACTGATATTACTGCCCTTTGCCATAGGTACGTGAGCCACGGCGTGGACAGTGCAACCGGTGCGGTTATTCTGGAGTCAGAGCTAAGGCTGAGGGAGGAGCGTCTTGTTCTCCGAGAAGGACATTGACCGACCCACGGCCAAGACTTGGTGGTGTTCAAAGCAACAGGCCAATGCGAGCGAGTCTAATGTGTTTGGTTGTGCACAGCCTCGAAACAAGGCATGATGCTTGGTCTTGGCCTGCTCAGCGCTTCGTTTGGAGGCCAGAACTGCACCGCAGCCGGATGCATGTGGTATAGTCTATGGGCATGCAGAGGATATGGGGGTTACCTCAACAAGCGTGGAGTTACGTGATACGCGTTTTATGTCGTTTCAAACGACATTTATTTCTTTGAAACGAAGTTCGAGTTGGTTCAGGGTGCCTGAAAATGGCCATACCTCGAACATACTTCCGAAATGATTCGAATAGCTGCCAGGTTTCGAATTTATTTCAGTATCAATAAGCAATGGCGCAGGCAAATGTTGTCCAAATTTCGAGAGTTTCGCTTGAAACGGTCCTTAGAAGGGGCCAAGCCAGAACGTGCAACATGTGGTTACGAGGTCTCAACTCCTGCACATGGACGTCTCTTCTCACACAGTACGCTTTCATTTCCCACGGAACATATGGCAGCGCCAACAAGGCGGCGTCATGTTGTCACACCTACCTGTGTACGTGCCTCCTTGGCTTCAAAAAAACAAACTGAAAAGAAAACTTTGTAACTCATGCATGTGATCCGCCACACAGTCAATGTTTCCATCAGCATCCATTCTGTCAAAGGCGCGATGGTAGAAAGTTCAAAGCCAGGAAAAAAGAAGAAGAAATGTAAAGCACCACCCACGTAATACGCCAGACACCAATATTTTGCAATGTCGTACAATCACTTCACAAACACACAGCTTACATGTACACCCAGCAAACGAACACGCAATACGAAGAAAATGTCGTGAGAATCCGTATCAACATAGAAAGATAATTCAAACACTTGCAACTTGCAACCACCAAAATGATATGATCTCAGCAACAATACACCTCAAGGAATAATCAAACAACACGATGAGCTGCCAGTTCATAGAAAACGCCGCAAGGCACTACATCAACAGGCAGCCTCTTTTCAGGCCTACCAACAGAGAAGCGTACACACAAAACGCTGACGGATTATTCTGTGCGGCAAAGAGCACCAAAGCCGAAAATTCAAGAAAAAACAAGACCCACCAAGAACCGACGGTTTCACATTATTTTCCCCTCTATAAACTCTCCACATTGTGATCCGACGTTCTTGCTCGCGACGAGACAGTGCCATTCCCTTCTGTGATCAACGAGGAAAGTCCACGGGCAGCATGAAACACCAGGCCTGGTCCGTTCAACCGACCACGAAAAACAAAATTGTCTTGCAGACGAAAAGAAGATAACGATATCCTCACTCCAAAAAGAAAACAAGAACTGCCTGGAGGAGGCTAACGTTCAGACCGCAACACCAAATTGATGCACACAACCCGAACACACTCACACAATCTAGGACTGGCGTAATTTCGTCCGCTCGGTACCAGCCAGTGCAGTTACTTAGGCGTGCGCATTGCAGAAACTTGCGCGCAGAAGTTGTTGCCAGCCAAAAGCAAACACCAAACGACACCCGTGTTAGGCGTGCCTGTCTTCTCTCTAGTCGTCGTAGCCTTGCAACAACACCCGAAAAGAGTACGCCCCGACCCCCTGCAGGAACACGCCGGTCGTTATCCCCAGCCACGCCACGCTGATGTAGTCGTCGAAGGCGGCGATCAGGGACATGAGCCACGCCAGGAGGACGTAGTGGTAGTCCCACTCGTCCCCCCTGCTGTAAGCGAACGCCGAGAAGAGAACAATGTACACCATGATCACGGTGATCGATGCCATGTACTGCAGGTATCGGTTTTCTGCTCGAGAAGGCGGAGGGGGCTCCGCAACCTGCCCTGAGACCATCCCCCACCCCAGCCACCCCCCGGGCAAGAACTTCCAGGCGAGGAAGTAGTGGTAGGCGAACACCAACGCGACCAAGACCAGGAGGATGATGGACAGTGCTGCTTCCGCGGGCGATAGTTCCCCTCCGGGGTCATGCAGGCCCTCGAACCCGTCGTTGTTCATGAGGGCGGAGGTAGCAAGACCGCTGTTTCGACAGTGGTAAGGTGAAAACACGCACAAGACAGCCGGTTGTCATTTAGCTATTTTGAGACGTGCCCGGGATTAACGGTAGCGGGCAAGTGAGCCACAAGGATGGACGCCTTTCACGCACGACTACGTCGCGAGAACACGCGCTGTGTATATACGAACTGGAGGGGGAATGAGATCAAAACCATGGCCTACGTCAGAAACGTGGGCCTGTTATGGGTACGGATTTATTTCCAGGGTGAGAGGGGACCGATAGAGAAACAGGAAGAAAACAACCCTCAAAGCAGGCAGCCCGCGGCTCTTGGCCTGTCGAAGGGACTTTTCGCCAGTGGAAGATAGAACGCGTGAAGACACCGCGCTAGACATCGTGGAACAAAGAGACGGAGAGTGCATATGGCTGCTGCTGCTGCTGCTGCTGTTGTTGTTGTCTTTGTATTCCCAAAACGAACCCTGCCCATCTCTGCTCAGCACCTTTGACTGCCCTTTCACTTCCCCTTGTGCACCCTCTAGAGTATGCGACACTCGCCGTGTGCCCTCAAAGTTGTTGGTGGTGAAAAGATTGTACACCTGTGACTTCCGCTTCCCCCTCCCTGCTAACCCGTCCGGAAATACGCATATCTCCCCCAGCAGTGAGAATCGAAGCCCCCTCATTTCACGATGATGGACAGCGTCCTTTGGACCGCATCCCAACCGTTTTCACTATTATCTTCAGCGCCTGGAGGGCCTGGCGATGTGCTTCTACTGTCACTGTGAGACAGCGTTGTGAACTCAGGATGGTCGCGCCTACTCGCGCAACATCGAACAGATTTGAGTTGATGAAACGAATGGGATCGGCGGGAACGTGCTTCAAAATCTTCCGGCGAGTAACCAAAGCATACAGCAGTCGTATCGCCGGGTGTGTGTCGCGGGCGTGGCAGCGTTTCCTTGCCAAGGGGTGTCGCAAGGCAAGAAGGCCCGGGAGCATGATGAGTTCGTGCAGTGAATTCACTGTCGGTGCCATATACCAATGTTGTACGCTGTAGGAAAACCTGCATTCGGCCCACGGAAAGCAGACTCACCTCGCTATCACCAAAACAGGAAAATACATCTTCTTCGACAGGGCGTGGTACCTGTTTTCGTTGAGAATGCCGCACAAAAATGCCTGTGCGAGAACGACGAGACGGTGGGGGCAAGATCGTCGGTTTCCTGGTGAGGATACGTATCGGTATGTAGGAATCCTTCAGCGGGCTTACCAAATATAGGGCAGGTTTGTTGAAGGAGTACACGAACCGTGGTATATTGAAGACGCTTCGAACTACCATGGATTTCATAGGGTTCGCTAAAAAGTACCGGTACTGCGGAAGCACGAGGCTCGCGAACGAGAGAACGAGACAAGTCGTTCGACCACCCTGTCGACTCTAGGCGTTCACACAGAGACGTCAACAGAGAGGTAAATAGATATCGCAGCGTACGACAAGGGAGTAAGCGGACACCTGGGAGGCTTCTAGTGGTCAGCCAGCTTGAGGAGCTACAGCACAACAGAATCTGTATATATTGACGGAGAAAGGCAGAGACACAAAATAGCAAGGCAAGGAAATGTCTGAGGCGAAAAGGCCCTCTACCAAGTTGGACTCTATCTCTTTCCTCGGGGGGCAGGTAAAAAAACGAAGGAGGCATTTCGGAAGTATTGCATTCACCCCATTGGGCCTTGGTTTCGACGCCAAATGTATTTTCCACCTCAGAAGAAAGAATAGACAGAGGTGCTGAAAAAGTGACAAAGTGTACTTGTGTAGACGAACAGCTACATATGTCCACCTATAGGCCATGCGGGCAGCCCGCGACATGGTGGTGGCCACAGACAGAGTCTCGGAAGGGTCGATGGGTGGTCACACTGCGGCCGGTAGGGCAGGTAGCCTTAGACCTACAAATAACAGCCGCTCCCGATGATTGAGAAAAAATCTTGTATTGAGAAAAAAACGTTTGGTCGGCGAACAACCATTGGCCGAAACGTTTCCTTTCATCACGCGAACGTGTATTGTATGCAAGGCGTGTGATCGAAGGAAACCTGGGGTTTGAGGCGCGGGACTGAATCGTACAGCAGTGCAGCAGTGGCAAAGGAAGCAAGAAATTGTGGGGGAGTTTCATCGGGGGATTGGATAAGCAACGGCGGTGATGACGTAGTGGAGTACAATTGCAGCAGCAGCAGCAGCAAGCAGCAATAAGAAGTGCACACTGCACCTGCTCCTGTGAAACCAAGGAGTGATCTGCCGTAGAGGTCACCGCGTGGTGTTAGGAACGGTCAGGGGTGGGCTTCGGTTAGGTGATTGAGCGGAAAACCATAAAAAATGTCAGGCCCTTCGAAAAAACAAATTTCACGCGCATGGGCAAAGCGGCTGCAAGGACGGCATAGACTGACTGCTGCTGTGTTGGAAACAGGAAATGCGGCCTTGAAGAACTTCACACGAGGTTGACGCCGTACGTGAGGACCTGGAGCGCGAGGGTATAGCGTGTGGGTTTGTGGGCCGCGGTGTGTAAGCCTATAAATTGTTGGCCCTGCGTGTGTCCGATTACAGGCGTGGAAACATTGTGTGAAGTTACTTGACAATACACCAGACGGCCAAAACGTTTCGGCGTTCGGATCCGAACGCCGAAAACGTGGTGGTGAATATGTTGATCATAGAACAGACTGAGAAAACGTTTCCGCGTTCCGATCGGAACGCCGAAACTGCATTGGCTCACTTTCACGTGTTTGAGGTTTCGGAGGAACGGGCCGACGGCAGCAGACCAGCGTGATGTTTCAGAAAAATCCAAATCTGCATTTAAACCTCCGCTGGACAAATATTTCCCCGGCAATACCGTTTGGACACGAAATAACCCCCAATGAATTCCGAATGAACCCTTCGGTCGTGTCTATGGTTGTCTGAGTTCCGACCAAACCCTCGGAGGTATTTTTTGCCACTCCAAACCTGAATTTTTAGTTTCACACCTCCCTACTATCTTCTTTCATCGCGGTCGATGTGGATAGAATAGCAGAGAGAGGTTGTTGCCCGCGATGACCCTTTTCGTAAGTCTACCTGACCAGACACTCCATGGTCCTTAGTAGTCCAGACAATCTAGCCTTCTTCGGCGCCGTAGCTGGCCCTGCCTCGGACCCCATCGAATTGGAGAAACTTCATCATCCTCTCCAGGCGCAGGAGAGCTTGCTTCTACGCCGCCGACAGAGCTTCCAAAAAAACGTCGGCGTGCCGAATCGAGGGATGTATCCTCCGTGGTCGCGGACAGTTGCTGCCTACAGCAATGTGGCAGGAAGTTTTCTGACCCTACAGAGAAGGACTACAGCTTAGAGCCGCTCAAGGCCGAGCAAGGCCGAGTGCCAGCAGTTTCAAGATTTGGAGAGCGAAGCCGCACGGAAGAGCTTCGCCATCCAACATGTTCCACTCCAAGCAAGCACAAGCACAGGCTGCATAAAGTCAATCGGAGGGCGTGTGGAAAGTTCTTCAAGGCTGTGTTTCTGTTTCCAACTACAGCAGTCTATGCCGGCTTTGCGGTCGCTTTGCCTAAGCGGCGTGAAATTTGTTTTTCCGCCGGGCCTGGCATTTTGGTATGTTCTCGTGGGAGGAAACGTTTCGGCCAATTGTTGTGCGCCGACCATTTTTTTTTTCTCAGTAAAAGACTTTTTCTCAATCATCGGTAGGGCAGGTAGCCTTAGACCATTTAAAGATCAGTCGTCCAGCTGCCTCAACTACTCTATTTTCAGCATACTCTAACGATCAGTGAAAATGGTCAGTGAGAGGGCTTTAGCTGGTATTTGTACTTCTCTGTTATTCTCTGTCCCGCCCTCATGTGAGCCCTGCCGGGTCACTAGAGCTCCTGTTTCCCTCACAATCACACCAGCACTCCAGCACACCAGCACACTATTACGAAGCGGCTTCCGAGGTTCGGGCGAGGGTACGAGGAGGTGATGTGTATTAACATGCATGCATAGTCTGTGCTATGTTGTTGCACTCGTCTATGCAGCTGTTGCGTGGTGTAGCAGCTGACACGATGAGTGTTGGATCTTGGGAAGGTACGATGGTAAAAAGATTGATGCACCATACCACTGTATCCTGGCTTAGTCTGGGTATGAAATACCCTTTGTGCAGCCCTCCGCTATTTTGGATCAGTGGCTGCCTAGGTTCGGGCGAGGGTATACGTGGTGATTTGAGTTTAATATAAGTGCCTGCGGTACTGCGGCTCCGCAGTTATTTCTGAAAAAATTCTCTCAGCGCAGAATCTTCCGGGGCCAATCTGCGGCTTGACGCAGAAAAATGTTTTGGCCGCACGAGGCGAAAAAAGGTTTTTTGCACCACCACAAATATCACTTTTACGCTTATTTTGATGATTCTACGAAGCAACAACCCTCCGGCAGTCCTACGTGATCCTTCCGGGCCTCCGGGGGGGGGGCTGCGGGGGGCCGCATCTCGCCTTCGGAGCCAGCGCAGACTGAACCTCCGGACTTTTTAAACGCTGCCTGTGATGTCTGCCTCTGTGAAATAGAATGTAGAGACATCAGGTTTGGCGTTTGCATTTAGCACATTGCGCATTTTTCGAATTTCGGCCCGCTTCCCGAGGCCTGTAGGTTTTACCCGCTGGGACTGACGCCCCTTTCCCAGTGGCCAGCCCGTTAGCGCGGTCGATGCTTAAAAGACAGTCTACTGAACGCTTCCCAACACCCGGCGTGGAGGGCCACACAGGGCGGCAACTCCACGGCTTGCCACCGCCCCAGCATTTGCAAATGACCAATCAATGATCCGTCAGTACGCCTGAAGGCCCAAATGGGTTAAGAGAAAAACACTTTCTCCCTCCCGGCCGGATCAACTTTACGGAAGGTGGCAGCGCACTGCCTGTTCGATGAAAGCCCCCCCACGACTCTAAAGTCAGTTTAGAAAATGCGTGCATTCCCGGGCTAAGAATGACCCAACCAGCGGGCCGCGTGCTCCTATTTAGACCTTGCACGC